AGCCGCAGTGTCTCAGACCCGTCCAGGGCTGGGAGAGGCAGGCGGCGGCAGCGCCAGCTTTGGAGGGGAGCCCCTTCTCTGCTGAGCAGCGGGAGGGTGAGCGGGACCTACAGCCGTGAATCGGCCTTCTGTTGTCCCGGTGCGTGTTCTTCACGACCCCCGCAGCCACCTCACCAGGTCGGTGCTACCCTGGCCTCGGGTCGGGTGGGGAGGCTGAGACCCCTCAGGGAGGCAGGCCCGCCCACAGACCCCCACGAGCCGTGCAGCCTTCGAAGGGCCTCACGTCCCAAGCCTCTCCAACCTCACTGCCTGTTTGGTGCTGGCCCAGAGGGACGCCTAGGCTTACTTTGTTGAAAGCCTGAAATAAGCTTCTCTTTTAATGTGCCTGTTCCCACAGCAGTTTTCTCAGAAGGCAGGCTGTCTGTCTCAAAGTTGAACTCTAGGACTGATTCTCCCACGGTGAGGCTAGTGCCATTCACTCACGCTCAGCAGGCAGAGCAGTGATTCCCGAACTTTCTGGATCAGGCAAATTTCCTGGGGCAGCTGTTACAATGCAGGTCCACAGGCATACCCCTCAAGAGGATTCAGAGGCCGAGCAGGCCCCGGGCCATGGAATCTGTATTCCTAACCCAGGGTCCTGGGGAATTTTTAAAAAAATTTTTTTTAAAATGTGTTTTTTTAAATGTTTTTAAAAATTTTATTTGGCTGCCCTAGGTCTTAGTTGCAGCATATGACATCTAGTTCTCTGACCAAGGATCAAACCCAGGCCCCCCTGCATTGGGAAAGCAGAGTTCTAGTCCCTGGACCTCCAGGGAAGGCCCCCAGGTGACTCTCAGAACTGCCTGGAGTGGTTGAGGACAGGCAGGTAGAAGTGTGTGTTCCTGGCAAGGCAGCCAGCCCGTGCAGAGGCCCTGGGGCAGGAGAGGGGGTGCTGAGGTGGGGGAGTCCCACTGACGTCGCCCACAGCGCCTGGAACAGCGTCCTCCCGTCCCGCCTGTTGCGGCCCTGCAGCTCCTCGGCCACTCCGTCCCGTCCGGGCCCCTCTCTCCTGGCTTACTGGCCCAGCCACCCTGGTGTCTGTCTGTCTCTCTGGGAAGTGTTCCTCTGCTTGAAATGCTCGCCCTCTGGTCTTGCCATGACTGACTTCTCCCTCCTCCACAGTCCAGCTTAGAGGTCACTTCCTCACAGAGTCCTTCCCGGTGATCACCTCTCTAAAGCAGTGGGGGGAGTCCATTCTTCTCTAGAATCCTGCCCTGCTTCTTTCTTTTGTAGCACCAATAATTATGGAGGGTAATCCTGTAACACATGTCCCGTGAGGGCGTGCTTGCTACTCTGCTTCAGTCGTGTCTGACTGTGCAACCCCATGGACTGTAGCCCGCCAGGCTCCTCTGTCCATGGGATTCTCCAGCAAGAACACTGGAGTGGATCGCCGTGCCCTCCTCCAGGAGATCTCCCCAACCCAAGGATCAAACCCGAGTCTCTTGTGTCTCCTGCGTTGGCAAGCAGGTTCTTTACCATTAGCACCATCTGGGAAGCCCTCCGTGAGGGCAAGGGCTTTGTTGAGTTCATGGCTGGATCCCCAGTGGCTGTCAGGGCCCACAGGCACTGGCTGGGCAGAGAAATACCTGGGGAATGTACTGAGAGTCCCGGGGTGGTGGTGGGGTGCAGGGAACAGGAGCGGGGCACGGATGCTCAGAGTGGTCCTGCCTACCTCCGCCCACCCTGCCCCAGGAAGACGGTCACAAGCACCACTGTGGCAGCCCTGGCCGGTGGCCGGATGGTACCTGCTTGGTCATTCAGCTGGTTATAGCTCAGGTCCAGAGATTTCAGGCCCGTGTGGGCCAGCAGGAGTTCAGCCAGGTACTGGGCTGCCTGCTCCTCCAGGCCGTTCTCTGCCAGCTGCACCCTCTGCACGGCCGGGCTCACCACCAGGGCAGCACAAATAGCCCGGGCTCCCTCCGCTCCCAGACGGTTCTCCGACAGGTCCACATCTGGGGCCAGCAGCACTCCTCAGGAACGGGCTCCAGAGCCAGGCCCTGCCCCCTCCCGTCCCCCGCAGCTGCCCAGCCTGACCCAGCACGGGGGACTTAGCAGCCGGACTATCCTGGAGTGGATGGTGAGTCTGCCCCCCATCGACTGGGTCCCCTGCGGCCCCAGACAGCTCCCCGGACTCCCGTCCCCAGCCCGTGTGTCCACAAGCTTTGTCGGGGGGCCAACACCGCCTGCTCTGTGGGGCTGTGATGTAGATGCACCCAGCCCCTCAGTGGGTGATTCACGCCTGGCAGCCGTGTGGCCCTCCTGTGGAAGCGCCACTGCAGCGTTTTCCGGGACTGGCGGTGACAGCCCAGGTGGCTGCGCGTCAAGGGCTTACGTAAGCAGACGCTCTCCTGAGAGTATGTCCCCACATCTCCAAGGATTGAGTGTCAGAAACTGAGGCTCAGCAAGGCTGGCTCCTTGCTCAGGGTCTCCCTGCCCTTCTGTGGCAGAGGTGGCATCTGGATGCAGCCCCTCTCCTCTCGCCCTGCCTGGCCCCTGCCCATCTGCACGCCCACCCCCCCAAATCCAGGCACCAGGAGGCCACCACACACAGGGGGAGTGGCCAGCCAAAGACAGTGGAGGAGGCCCCACAACTCCGGGGGCCCCACACAGGGGCTGACTGCATCCCACTCCCCCACCCTGTGATGAAGCTCCGCCCCCCAGCAGCAGCAGCAGCTGGGAGCGGGGTGAGAAGGCCCATGCGGGGTAGCCCAGCCCCACCCCAGGCTCAGAACCTACCACAGATACTGCGGGTTTTGCTCAGAGCGCCCGCAAGGGCCTCTGCACCGGCCCCGCAGAGTCCGTTGTCCCGGAGGTCCAGCCGCTTGACGTAGGGATTGGAGGTCAGTGCCCGGGCCAGAGCCCGGGCCCCCTGGGACGGATAGGTACCTGAGGGCCTGGCCCTTCCCAGGGCTGCAGACATGGTGGGGGGACACTCCCTGGGCTCTGCCCGCTCAGTTCCTTCCCACAGGCCCAGGGATGCCGGCTTCTCCTTCTCGGTCTCCCCAGGAGCTTCCTTGATCCCCCCAACAAGTTAGGGGTGCCCTGCTTGTTAGGGCCCCCAGTTAGGCCCCCCAGTCCTTGTACTGAGCTCTGTCATAGCCCCGATCCTACCTGTAGCTCACTGTGGGGGCTGGACATGCCCGGGACCCCGAGCAGGGCTGGGGAGTGTGTGGGGGAGTGGGCTCAGGAAGGGACCCCTCCCATGGCTGCTGCCTTCCAGGTCCTCGCCCTTCAAACCTGCTCGAGGGTCCCTCCCGGGGTACCTGGGGCCCCAGGCCACGGTGCCGCAGGCTGAGCTCTGGGGCGCTCCCTTGGCGCAGAAAGCAGGAGGCGGGCACGACACTGTGAGCCCGGCAAAACCTTAGGTAGAGGGTATCTTCGCCCAGCCTGCCAGGCCTGCGGGCACCTGATGGGAGGCAGGGTTCACGTGGCCCTCTCCCGGCCGGCCCCACTGCCCAGCCTGGTCTCTCCTGTGCCAGGACAGCGGCCCCACCTGCAGTCCTGCCACTCGTGTAGCTGGTCCTGGCCCCCCTCCCCACCCAGCCCCCTGACCCCGCAGTGTATGCTGTCTCTTCCACCGGACTGCAGACCACAGGGCTGTGTGAACCTCTTATAGGGGAGGAAACTGAAGCAGTTCTAAGTTCCCTACCTCCATTCCTTTAGTTTTTTTCTGATGGCTGCGGTGAGACAGCCCTTCTTACACTGTTCGGGGTGTTGGGGGGGGGGGTTGCCTCTTAACCTCATTCTGGAAGCCTGTTCTAAGGATGGAACTGATGCCGCCAGGAGCATGGTGCGGGAAGGCACAGGGCGGGAGCCGCCCCCAGCTCCACGGAGGGGTGAGCTTCTGCTAGACGGGGGTCCCCTGCCTATGAGGCCCCAGCCTGCCCACCCCCTGCCAGTAGGCACCTTCTGTCTCCTGGTCGGAGTCCGAATCCGAGTCCGAACCCTTCTTGGCCTCCGGGCCCCCAGCAGGACGCCCAGAGGCCGCCGCCGCCCCTTCCTCCTGGTCTTCCTTCTCCCCAGGCCCCTGGAGGGGACCCCTCATGGTTACGCCCACTCTACAGTCGCGGCCACAGAGCGGGGACTGCCAGGGCCTGCAGCGGAGCGCGGCCCGGGGGTGGGGGCGGGCCCTCCAGCTCACCGGCCAATCTGACGGGGCGCTTGTCCGCTGCAGCCAATAGGGACGCCTCCCCGGCAGCAGTTGCCCAGGCGACCCCGAGTTGTTGGTTGCTGCGGACACCGCCAAGAGCGCGCGCTGACCTTGGCCCGCTCGCAGCCGGGACCGATCGGCGGCGCGCGGGGCGGGCTTGCCTCTTCGTTATCCTCTTTGCATTCGGGAGCCTGGGAACGGGGCAGCTTCTCGGGGGCGCCGCACAGGGGGCTGACTGCTTTCTGCAGCCAGGATCGCGCTTCCACCTGTGGGTCCAGCCCTCACTCACCCGCTAGCAGTCGCCTGTTTCTCCCTCCACCCAGGACAGCCCTCCCCAGCGCTGCTTGTTGAGCGTCGGGTCTGCACGGGGCAGCTCAGGGCTCCCTTCTTCCTGAGGCTTTCCTTGCCCTCTGGGCTCCAGCTGGCCCTCTCACAGTGCCTGTCCCACCTGTCATCACCCCTCAGAGGTGACAGGTTAGAGGGTGTGTCCAGAGACGGTTCCTCCCTTAGAGCCCGGGGCCCAGCCGGCAGAGTCTGCGGTGGATGGGAGGCCCTGGGAAGCGGGGAGGCTGGGCCTGAGCCCAGGGCCTGGGAGGTGGAGGCTGAGTCCTGCCCGAGTGTCCCTTTAATAGCTTCTGGCTTGGCCCTGCTTGGCGCCTGCTTCAGCTCCCCGTTCAGCTGTGGCTGCAGCTGCCGTGCTGACTCACGCAGCCTGGCCGCCAGCAGGAGCTGGGAACATGGGCTCCCCAGGTGCCGGGGTGGGCTGGGGGCTTCTGGATTACAAAACGGAGAAGTATGTGATGACCCGGAACTGGCGGGTGGGCGCCCTGCAGAGACTGCTGCAGCTGGGGGTCGTGGTCTATGTGGTGGGGTAAGAGGACAGCTCCCGGGTGTGCTGGCCAGAGCGGTCACGGCTGGGCTGAGGGGCGAAAGACTTGGTCTTCAGGGTCTGGGCTGGTGGTTGGTGGACAGGGCAGGACGTGGGGAGAAGGAAGGTTCTCCATCTGTCTAGAGGCTGGGGGGTGTGTCAGAGCAGGTCCTGTGCTTAGGTGCCTCCCTGCATCCTTTCCTGGGCCTTCTTCCCAGCCTTGTGCTGGACTCCAGTGCCCAGCAGGATGGACCCCATCCCCACACCGGGGGCCCTTGGCCGGGCAGGAGGTGGTCCCTGACACTCGTGAGAGCTGGAGCACTAAGGACCCCAGGAGCGACCACCAGTTCAAGCTGGGTTGGGGTCGTCTTTGAGGAGGAAGCCGGACATAGACAGGGCAGGGGAGGGTGATGGCTGGTGAAGGAGGTGATGGTGGGCGTCCCCAAACCCATGGGTGCCCAACAAGGGCCCTGGCTCTCTGATGTGTGGCCAGCCCTGGGCTGGGAGCCAGGAGGCCACGGGAGAGGGGCTGGGGGCGCAGCACGCAGCCCGTCTGTCCTCCCCAGCTGGGCCCTCCTCGCCAAAAAAGGCTACCAGGAGCAGGACCCGGACCCCCAGGTCTCTGTCATCACCAAGCTCAAGGGGGTCTCCGTGACCCAGATTGAGGAGCTGGGGAACCGGCTGTGGGACGTGGCTGACTTCGTGAAGCCACCGCAGGTGGGTGACCCGGAGCTGCTGCTGGGTGCTGCCCCCTCTGACAGCCCCCCTCCCACCGTGAGCGTGTGCAAGGGTGACGGGGCGCCGGCCCTGGAGGGGCCTCGCAGAGCAGTGGCCTTCCAGTGGAGGAGGAGATGGTCGGGAAGCCAGGCCAGAGGGATGCGCTCTGCAAGCCTGCATCCGGAACGGGTGGAGGACAGGTGGTGCGCGCGCATGGCAGAATGCCGCCTGTGCCTGCTCGGCTGCTCAGTCGTGTCCTGCTCTGGGCGACCCCATGGCCTGTAGCCTACCGGGCTCCTCTGTCCATGGGATTCTCTAGGCGAGAACACTGCCATGGGGTACCATTTCCTCTTCCAGGGGATCGTCCCGACCCAGGGATCGAACCCTTGTCTCTGATATCTCCCACATTGGCAGACGGGTTCTTTACGGCTAGTGCCAGCTGGGAGGCCCCCAGGGGATGCTCCCCAGCCAGAGAAAGAGTGAGGTGATGCTGTCTGCAGCCACGAGGACGGGCCCGGAGACGCTCAGACAGGGGCAGACGATGCCACTTCCCTGTGGAAGCTAGAATGTGACAGAAGTGAATGCATCTACGCACAGACTCACAGCTGTAGTCCGTAGACTTGCGCCTGCCGAGCTGGGGGCGGTGGTGAGGGAGGGAAGGACTGGGAGCTTGGGATCAGTAGATGCGAACTGTTATAGAATGGATAAGCAATAAGCTTCTGCCGCATAGAACAGCAAACTATATTCAGTATCCTGTAATAAACCACGATGGAGGGACCTCCCTGCTGGTCTAGGGTTAAGATTCCGCCTTCCTGAAGCAGGGGCCCAGGTGTCATCCCTGGTTGGAGAACTAGGTCCTGCCTGCCGCGACTGTAGATTCCCACACCACAGGGAAGATCCCGTGGGCCACAAGTTTAAAAATAACTTTTAAAAAACATAATGGAAAAGCAAAAAACAAAAAGTCTGCATCTGGAAAGGACAGGCTTGTTGGAGCTCAACGTGTGAGCTTGGGGGTGGGATGGGGGGCCACGGGGGGCGCTCCTCCTCCGCCCCCCACCACGCTGTGTCTCCTGCCCCACCTCCCGTCACCTAGGTTGTCCGCCCCTCAGTCTCCTCCGCTGTCCTGCTGACGCCCAGATTCTAACCCTGGTGGCCCCCGCCCGAGCACAGCTGACTCCCAGGGGCAGGCCCACCTCATCAGACGGGAAATCACCTCCCGCCCCCAGCATGGCCTCTTGTCCTCCAGTGACATCCCCCAGTGTCCACGTCGGGTCCACTGGACACCCCCCTGCCCCTCCCTCCTGTTCATTCCACTTCCTAACAGCTCTCACGGCCACCCGCGCCATCCCTGGGTCGGGCTGACAGAGGCCTTCTGCCGGGTCCCCATGCAGCAGCCGGGCTTGCCACACTGGAGGCATTTTCCTGGGGCTCAGGGCTGATGACTTGATGGATCTAGGGCCCCCTCCCTGCATGAGCCAAGCTGCCAGCTTCTGGCCCCTCCTGGTGGGGGACAGGGAGCAGAGACCCACCCTGACACTTCTCTTCCAGGGAGAGAACGTGTTCTTCTTGGTGACCAACTTCCTTGTGACACCAGAACAAGTCCAGGGCAGGTGCCCAGAGGTAAGACTGCCCGAGGGCTTCTGCCCGAGGTCCCTCGTTCCAGAGTCTGTCACCGGCGAAGTGTCCGGACCCTTCCTCATCCTGGTCCCGCCTCAGGGGAATTTTGGAGGTTGTCAAGGTAACAAGCCTCAGGTGGACTCTGACAGCCAGAGGCAAGCTGGAAGACCACCACCCTTTTCTAGACACAGCCTCCATTAATGTGTCCTGGGGGCAGCATCCGTTTCTGTGAGCAAACGGCACACTGCTGCCCATGCCAAGCTCAGGGTCGCCCATGACCTCTGCGCACTTTGCCCTGAAGCTGTGGTCCCCGCCATCTAGAAAATCTCACCGTCCCCAGAAGCCGCACCTTTCCTCCTCGCCTGAGGGCGTCCAGGGCCCAGCCTCTGCCACAGAGCCCACTGACCCTTCTCTCCAGCTGCAGATTTTTTATCTGATTTTTTTCAAATTGTGATAACATACACATAACATCAAAATTACCATCTTAACCGTTTTTAAGGGTTCAGTTTCCTGGCTGTGGGTTTTGCTTGAAGAGTCCTGACCCAGGACACTGCCTTGGAAGCCTGCCTCCGTGGCGACACTTTTCTTTCATCGAGACTAAAACGTAATCACTTGCTGGATGGAGAGAAAGGGTGCGGCCAGCTGCCCGAGCCCTGCTTGGTGGTCCCACCGCTGTTGCTGGGCACGCATGTGCCCAGTGGACCCATCTTCCCTTGGCAAACGCGATGCCCTTGCCTTTGCAAATGCTCACGGATGTCTAGTCTTGGTTCAGTGTGTGGACTGTCCTGAAGTTTTGCTGAGGCCGTGGTTCTGTCTTTTCTGGAATCCCTGGGATTCCTCTTTGCTCCATTCCCGGCTTCTGACTCTTCCCATGAAATGGTGGGGGCCGGGCCGTAACGCATCAGAGCTGACCGCCCGCCTTCCTCAGAGCTGCTCCTCCGGGGATCCTGGTGGGCTGGTCCTCCCAGCACACACACTGTGCTCCAGATGGTGCCACAGCCTTCAGAAACCCGCAGCGCCTCCGCTGGGGCCTGCAGAACCCCACCCGCACACGCCAAGGAGCTCCGGGGCAGACGGCCCAGCCACCGAGGCAGGTCCTGGGGTGGCACAGAGGCTGCAGCTGGGAGTCCCCGGGAGGGCCTCTGCCAGCGCTGGGGGCTCAGGCAGGGCTTCCCGCTGGACCCCAGGCTCAACGGGGGTCTTCAGGCTGTCCAGGCAGAGGGGGCTGCGTGGGCAAAGGCCCCCTGTGTTGGGTGGGGCCTCTCGGGAGTCACCTGCTGCTCAGTGGGGGTGGAGCCTCCCTTTGGACGGGAGTAGGGGTGGCGGTCTCAAGGGCCCTGTGGAGGAGCTGGGCTTGATCACAGGAGCATGGGGGTGCAGGGGGCTCAGGGGAGGGGTGCTCCATCTTCGGTGCCTTGGGAGGGGCAGCCGGAAGGAGGAGGATGGGGTCTGGGGGGGTGCCCACGGTGGCCCAGCCAGGCGGAGGGGAGGGACAGACGTAGGACACAGGTGGGGACCTTGAGGCCGGGCAGGTGTCCCCGCAGTGTCCTCCGTCTGCTCAGCTCGTTGGCCCAGAGCCCTCTGACCACCAGTGTTCCCCACACTGCCCTGAGCTGGGTGCCCTGGGCAATGGTATCCAGCACCAGCCAGGACAAAACTGCAAAGCCGCGTCTGTGAGACTGTCTCCCTCTGGCGCCTGGAGCCTTCCCCTGCTGGCTGACCCCCAGAACTCTGTCCCCGCCTGCAGGCAGCCATGACCCCTTCTTACTGGAGAACAAGCCGGGATGGGGCGAGCCTGTGTGCTCCCAGGCCGTCCCACCGGGGCTCGCCCACGGTCAGTGCCCAGCGGCCCCACCTGGCAAGCCCTCACCCTCCCGCCGCCCATCACCTCCCCTGTTCCCTTGTCTGAGCTGGACCAGAGCCACTGGGCCTGGCCACGTCACTCCCATCCCCCAGGAGGAGCGGGTCAGGAGTCTTGCTCAGCCTTGGAACTCTGCCTGCACCCGTCTCCCACTGCGGCTGCCCACTGCATTTTTATCTGCAGCCTCCAGCTCTCTCGGGTGCCCCCAGACTCAGAGACCCCCCAGGGGCTAAGGCAGGAAGGGGTGTGTCCCCTTGCCCTGCGGGGCAGGCTCCCCGAGGGAGGCCCCTCCAGGCCCTTGGCGGTCTGCTCTCCGCCCCCAGCACCCGTCCATCCCGCTGGCTAACTGCTGGGCCGACCAGGACTGTCCCGAGGGGGAGACGGGGACGCACAGCCACGGTAAGCGGGCCTGCCTTGCAGGGCCTCCCCGGGCTGGGGGGCTCCGGCCCAGGGGACCCTGGGTGGTCTGCGTCTCTCCTTCCTGTCAGCCGCCCTCCCCCCACCCCTACCCAGGCCCCATGGAGATTTGAGGGCCTGGGGTTTGTCCCGTGTTTTCAAGGCATAAAGACGGGCCAGTGTGTAGTGTTCAATGGGACCCACAGGACCTGCGAGATCCGGGGCTGGTGTCCAGTGGAGAGCGGCGCTGTGCCCGTGTAAGCCCCCCAGGCCCCGCCCCGCCCCCTGACCACGGAGCCTGCCTCTCACCTCCCCCCTTCACCCCTCAGGAAGCCCCTGCTGCTCCAGGCTGAGAACTTCACCCTGTTCATCAAAAACACCGTCACCTTCAGCAAGTTTAACTTCTCCAAGTAAGCGGGGATGGGGTGGGGTGGGGTGCAGTGGGGTGGGGTGGGGGGACTGGCAGACCGAAGACCCTCCTGCCCCCTGTCCGCCCTGACCGCCGCCTGCCCCCTCAGGTCCAATGCCCTGGACACCCAGGACCCCACCTACTTCAAGCTCTGCCGCTACGACCCCCGCTCCAGCCCCGCCTGCCCCGTGTTCCGCATCGGGGACCTCGTGGCTGCAGCCGGAGGGGTCTTTGAGGATCTGGCACTGCTGGTGGGTCCCAGGTGGGCGGGAAGCGGTCCCTGGTGGCCCGGGAGGGCCTGAGAGCCGCTAGGGCAGTGTGCGCTGTGTGCAGGGCGGGGCCGTGGGCGTCCACATCCGCTGGGACTGTGACCTGGACAGTGGGAGTGCTGACTGCCGGCCCCAGTACTCCTTCCAGCTGCAGGAGCGGAGCTACAACTTCAGGTGCGGCCGTCCACCCCCACCGCCTGCCCCCAGAGCCCGGGATGCCTGCTGTGGGGGCGGGCACCAGGGCCCCCAGCACAGGCTCCATCCAGCCTCCACTCTGCACCCCCTCTGCCGCTGGGACCCCCGCCCCTCCTCCTCAGCTGCCCCACCCCGGCCGGTCCCCCCAGAGCCCTGGATGCCTGCTGTGGGGGGCGGGTGCCAGGGCCCCCAGAACAGGCTTCAACCAGCGTCCACTCTGCACCCCCTCTGCCGCTGGGACCCCCTCCCCCAGTCCTGCCTCCAGCACTCCCTCCACCACACAGGGGTCTTCTTATTTTACTTTTTCCTTTAGGTTTTATTTTAAAAAGTTCCAAAGTCTATAGAAGAGTTCAAAGATTAGTACCTTGAACACCCATGTCGCCTTTGAGAAAAAGAATCTAATGACTTGAGTTTCCTGAACTGTGTCAACAATAGTCCGAAACCTTTCTATTTTCTAATCCAAGGCGTGGTTAAGGAATTTGCACTGAACTTATTGTCACGTCTGAGTCCCCCAAGCAGAACCCAGCCCACCCCCTGGAATCCTGTCCTGCCACCTCATGTCACCTCATCATGTGTTTACACACACAGGCATGCACATGCTCACACATGCACAGGCACACACACGAGCACATGCCAACACACGAGCACACACATGAGCACACGCTCACAGGCTCACACAAGCTCACACAGCCCCCAGGTCTGGAGGCGACAGCCTTGAGTGCTACCCGGGCCTCACCTGGCCTGGCTGCCCTATGCTTTTTGTAGAACTGCTTCCCAGCCTCTGGAAAACCAACCCAAGAGCCCCTGTGGAAAGCCTTTTCTGGTTCCTAAGGGAGAGTGAGGTCCCCCTTGGACCCCAGAGCCCTGGGCCCGCGCCCAGCTCCCCCACTGGTGTCTGTTTAGGGACCCTTCTGCCCCATCCCCTGGGCAGGCAGGGAGCTCCTGAGAGATGGATCCCAGCTTGCATTGCCCCCGTGTCCTCCGCAGCCTCTCGGGATGCTGAGCAGGGATGGGGGCTTGTGGGGTCAGCGGGTGAGTGGGGTGGAGGCTGGGAACAGGCCAAACAGGCCACCAGCCTCTCTTCTGCCCCCAGGACAGCCACTCATTGGTGGGAGAGCTCGGGTGTGGAGGCCCGCAGCCTGCTCAAGCTCTACGGGATCCGTTTCGACATCCTGGTCACAGGGCGGGTAGGTGGGCAGGGCGGGGGTGGGGGGTGACGGTCACGTCACTGGGTGGGTGGTGGGGGGGCTGGTGGGGGGCCAGGGGGTGGGGACAGTCACGGCTCAGGGCTCACCCCGTCTCTCAGGCAGGGAAGTTTGGGCTCATCCCCACGCTTATCTCCCTGGGCACAGGAGCAGCCTGGCTGGGCGTGGTGAGTGCGGCGAGCGTGGGCAAGCACGCGCCTGGCCCGCTCGATGGCTCGGCCGGGCCCCCGATGTCAGGTCTGGTTGGGGGAGGCCTGGGGGGTGGGCCCGGGGCACAGCTCGGCCCTGCTGCCTGCAGATCACCTTCCTGTGTGACCTGCTGCTGCTGTATGTGGACGGAGAAGCGCACTTCTACTGGAGGAGCAAGTACGAGGAGGTACGCTGTGCGCGCCGGGGCCTGGGCGCTGCCTGTCTGGGGCCTCAGCCCGAGCCCCGACCTGCTGCCATCGTCCTCAGGCAAAGGCTCCAAAGAGGACCGCCCACCCCGAGCAGACGGAGCTGGTACCCGCACCCCCGCGCCCGGCCTTCCAGGGGCCTTAGAGGGCGTCCAGCGCCTGTCCTGACGGCCACGGTGGCTTCCGGGAGCTGGACACCGAGGCTGTGGCCCCACTAGACGGCCCGTTCCTGAGGCCTGCTCCCTGCTGGTGGGGGCTGGGGCTGGGAAGGCGGGGGCCTCGCCTTGAGACCCTCGTGGATGGAGCCACCAGGACTAGGACAGGGTGGAAGGACGAGTCCTTCGAGGCGGGGAGCGGCCCAGAGCCGCCTGTGCGGAGACCCGCGGCAGGGTGCCGTCCTGGGGCTCCAGCTGCGTCTGTGTGCGGAAAACCCTCTCCCAGCTCTTCGCCAGGATGCCCAGGGCGGCCCCCGCACCGGTGGTCCTCACAGCCCCTCCTCTGGCTGTGCAGACCCTGGCCCTCTCCTCCGTCAGCACCCCCATCTGGAGCCCCCATCTCAGAGCCCCAGGGTCTGAGGCAGACTGTCTCTGCCGCTGGGATCTGCTGCTGGGATCCTCTCCTGGAATTCAGACTGGGCTGGGCAGACGGCCCAGCCCTTCCCCGTGTCAGCCCTCAGGCTCTGGGGGGCTGGGACTGACAGCAGACCAAGGACAAGCTGCTCTGGTGATGGGTTGAGCCCCCTGGAGACACCCAGCCCACCCCCTGGAACTGTGCAGGTGGGGAGGACTGGTGGGAGGGGAATTCTCGCTGCCCAGGGTCACCCCCGGGGCCAGCCTACAGCTGCGGCTCTCTGGAGGCCCTGTCCTTCGGGAGCGGAGCCCCAAGGCTGGAAGGAACGTCCCAGAAAGCCCCAGAGGCCACGGCACTCTGGCCAGGGTCTGGTGTGCAGTCTGCATGGGGTCTGGGTCTGGGTCCCCCCTGCTGGACTCCACATGGCAGAGGTTCGGGGGTGCCCACGTGGGAGGCCTGGGGCTCTCTCTCACGGGGCCTGGCGACCAGGCGTGCTGGCCGCGGCCAGGGCAGGGATGTGGGCCGGCTGTGGAGGGCCAGCGCCGGGCTCAGGCTGGGCTCAAGCTGCCTCTTGATCCCCAGAGCAGTGTCCCAGGTGGCGGGGGGTGGGGGACGCCCTCAGGGCCAGGGCGAGGGGTGTGAGCCCGCGCACGGGCCCAGACAACGCTGACGGACGGCTGCACGGTCGGGGAGTAAAGCCTGCCGAAGCCACAGCTTCCCGCGTGCTCCTTACAGGCAGGGTCGGGGCAGGTGGTGTCTGCGGGGGCACAGCATTGCCCAGGAGACCGGCGGGCCATACGGGCTGGGCCTGGGCCCTTCCCAAGGACCAGAGGTGGGGGGACAGCCGGAGGGCACTTGGGGCAGATTCTGGCACTCGGGCGCGCAGCCTGGCGAGGCACCAGGGTCTGAGCCTGGAGGCCTGGGGCCTCAGTCTGCACGTGACGCGCCCATGGGTACATGTCTGGAGATGCGTGTGCTCGTGTGGGCGTGCCTCTGTCTCCCTGGGGGGACCTCAGGCATACGCCACGCTCTCTGGGAGCCAGGGAGACAAGGACACCCTGGAACTCCTCTGCCCTTCTAGGTGGCCTCCCAGGGCCCAGGCACCTGTGTCGGGCCCGTCCCCCGGGGAGGGAAGCCTGACTCTGCCCCTCTGTGCTGGCGCGTGGGGGGGCTGTGGCATCCTCGGAGGGGCAGAGGGCACTGGCCTGAGTGTGCTCAGCCCAGGGCTGTCCAGAGCCGGCACCTCCCCCGTGCGGAACCCCAGCACCCCTGCTCCACCCTGACAATCGAGTGAGCCCTTCCCGGGGGCCGGTGAGGACCCGGTGCCTCAAGATCCACGGACATGACACGGCCACACGGCTGGTTGAACGGTTCCTATTGTGGGTCCCCTAGACAGGGCGTCCTCCCCACTCGCCCAGTAGCTGGAAGGGGTTGCAGAGTCCACTGCCCCAGAGCCAGCGATGCCCACTCCAACATCGATGTGCAGCAACGGCCCCTAAACTAGAGTCCTCGGGTCCCAGGGCCCCCCCCCTCAGGATGGCAGGCCCGCAAGCCTGCCAAGCTGCCCTGAATGGAGGGTGGGCAGCTCTCATGGACTGCCAGGACCCTGGGCTGGCGCCTGGCCTGGGTCCTGCGCCGTCTCCTCCAGCCTGCCGTCGGGGAAAGCCACGTAGCGGGCAGTGACCAGCCCTGGCGGCTCCCGCCAGTTCTCCTTGCTGTGCCAGATGCCATAGCCAAAATACACCAAGAGTCCTGCCGGGGCGGTGTGAGCGTGAGCAGCAGGCCCCAGCCCTGCTCACCCTCCTGACCACTGCCCCCCGCCCCCAGAAGCAGGCCCCGGGTGCCCCAGCCCAGCCCCCGACTCACCCATCACCAGCCAGATGGTGAAGCGCACCCAGGTCAGGTAGCTCAGTTTCATCATCAGACAGAAGTTGAGGACGATGCTCAGGGCTGGAATCAGGGGCACCAGGGGCATCTGGGGGGGCAAGGGCAGGGCTGGGCCGGCTGCAGGGGCTCACCGGCCCAGGGCCCCTTCTGCAGGCCTCCGAGCCTTTTTCTGCCTCTGGAGACTGTGGAGCCTGGGGCCCACCCACAGACACGGGGATGTGCCCGGCGGAGGACGCAGGGTGGTGGGCTGACGGCGGGTACGGGGGGCGGCGGGGGGTTACCTGGAAGGTGTCCTTCAGGCGTTGCTGCTGGTGGGCCCCCAGGACGAGGAGACTGAGCAGAAACGCGACACCACTGCATAGCAGCAGCAGGAGGTTGGCCCAGTGCGGGAGGCTCAGGACCGAGTCCCCCAGCATCAGCCCGCAGCCCAGGGCGATCGCGGAGACCACCAGCCCGTAGATGGCCCAGCGCGTGGCCGCGCCGGGGCTGGCCCTGTCGAGGAAGCCCAGGTAGGGCCTCAGGGCTGGCCGCAGCCGCCCTGGCTGGGGGCCCTGCCCCGGGCCCACCAGCTCCAAGTGGTCAGAGAAGGAGTTGTACTCCTTGGCCTTCAGGCCGGAGCCGGCCAGGCTGGGCGAGCTGGACTGCGAGGCTGTCTGGAACCGCAACACGAGCACGCTGATGGCCACGAAGGTGTAGGCCAGCAGGGTGCCGATGGACAGGAACTGCACCAGGGCTTCGAGGTCTAGCAGCAGCGTCACCAGAGCCGTGAGGGCCCCGAAGACCAGGGTGCCCAGCAGAGGCACCTGCGTCCGGGGGTGCACGTAGTCAAACCCCTTGAAGAAGAGCCCATCGACGGCCATGGCATAGATGATGCGCGGCAGGCAGAAGAGGCCGTTGATCTGGCCGGTGGTCATGGCTGCGGCAGAGGGTGAGGGCTGGTCAGCGCGCCCAGCAGGCAGGCACCCCAGAGGCTGTGGCAGGGGCCCCTGGGAGCCTGTGCCTGAGTTTATCTGGGTTCTCGGAGTGAGGCTGAGTGCCTGCAAGGTGCAGGGCGGTCACCCGTCCTCCAGCCCAGGAATGGGACACCCCAGTCTAGGTTGCGCGCCGGGGGCAGGGGCGGTAATCTGGTGAGGGCTGAGTCCCTGTGAAGAGGAAGCACGTGCGCAGGCCAGCATCCCCCGTATAAGGGGGCCAGCGGGTCCCTGCCCACAAGCCTGGGTGGAGTCTAATAATCAGCACCTCCCTGGGTTACAGCTGGTAAAACTGAAGCCCAGACAGAGATGTGTGTCCCCCCTCAACCTGCCCCGGGAGACCAGGGCAGGACCCCACTCACCACAGATGGAGCCAGTCGCCACAAGGTAGCCGGCCCAGCCATAGCCCCGCTGGTAGAAGGCGTCAGCGAGCGCAGAGTTAGGGTTCAGGCTGTGCCAGGGGATCATGAGGGTGAGCACAGTGGAGACCAGGATGTAGGCGACGGCCGCCAGCCCGAGTGACAGGGCAATGGCCAGGGGTACCGCGCGCTTCGGGTCCCGGGCCTCCTCGCTGGAGGTGGCAATGACATCGAAGCCCACAAAGGCGTAGAAGCAGGTCGCCGTGCCAGACATGATGCCGGAGAAGCCGAAGGGTGCAAAGCCGCCCTCCTCCTCACCCCAGTTGCTGGGCCGGGCGAGGATGAAGCCCAGGACGACAATGAAGAGGATGACGACCATGCTGACAGCCGATAGGGTGTGGTTGAGCCAGGAAGAGACACGGGCCCCGCAGGAGATGAAGGCGGAGGCCAGAAGGATGATGCTGGCAGCCAGCCAGTCTGGACTTCTGGCCAGAAAGGGCACCTGCCAGACACCCAGGTGGGCCTCGGTGAAGTTCTGGATACGGTGGTCGAACATGGCGTCCAGGTAGCCGCTCCAGGCACGGGCCACAGCGGCACCAGCGATGATGTACTCGAGCACGAGGTTCCAGCCGATGAGGAAGGCCCACAGCTCGCCCACGGACACGTAGGTGAACAGGTAGGCAGAGCCCGTGCGGGGCACACGGGCCCCGAACTCCGCGTAGCACAGGGCCGCCATCAGGGAGGCCACGGCGGCCACGGCGAAGGACACGACCACGGCAGGGCCGCTGATCTCCTTGGCCACGGTGCCCGTGAGCACGTAGAGGCCGGAGCCCACCATGGAGCCCACCCCCAGCAGGGTCAAGTCCAGCGTGGACAGGCAGCGCTGCAGCAGCGTCTCCATGGTGCTGTCCTCCAGAGGCTTCTGCCGCTTCAGCTTCTGGCAGAAGCGCGCCAGGCCGGCAGCGCAGGGCCGTCCCGGGGCCATGGTGGGCAGAGAGGAGCAGAGCGGAGCCCCAAGCCAGGTGGGCAGAGAGGAGCAGAGCGGAGCCCCAAGCCAGCTGCAGGCACCTACCAGAGCCAGAGCGGAGTGACGGGCTGCCCCGCCTGCCGTGTGATCACACCCTGGGTCCCAAGTGCCCTTAACAGTGGGCTGCCGGAGGGCTGGGCTAGGCTGTGGGTGGGCGGGAGAGCCGTCTGCCTCCAGGGCAGGGCAGGCAACCTAGTGGAGCTGAACCCGGTCATGTTGTGGGAGGGGGGAGGGTGGACTAGAGGGCGCAGAGAGGCAGCCCCAGGGAGCCAGACTGGGAGCCCAGAGCCAGGTGGAAACCCAAGGCTTCCCGGGAGCTGGGCCAGGCCTCCAGCACCCGGAACAGGCGCTGGGCGTCACCCGGGTCCCCCTCCCCCGCCACGCAGGCCGGAGGAGCCACGCAGCGGCCCGAAGGAAGGAACGGGGATCCCAGGTTCCCGGCTGCGCCCCTGCCCCCGCCTTGCCGCCGCCGCCCCTGGAGCCAGCCTCACTGCCCCATCCTCAGGTACCTGAGGCTTCGCCTCCTCCCAGCCCGAACCCGTCCCCTCTGCCACCCACCTGCTGCCGCCGCCGCAGCTGCCACTCCGGCGCCCCGCCTGTGGTGCCGTCCTTCCGCGCGCAGAGCCCGCCCCCACCCCCCAGGCGCCTGAGCCAGCGCGGCTGCACCTTGATGACACACAGCCGGCAGCCCTCCGCTTCCTCACCTGGCTGCAGGGGCGCCCCATCCCAAGGCGAGTGGGGTGCCCCCGAGCAGGTGCAGTTCTGGTGGCAGGGAGCGGGTCTGGAGCCCACCTGCATTCCCCTGGAGCAGACTCCCTCCTTGATCCCGCCACCCCCAACGCTGGGGCTCTGGGACCTCAGGAGTCAGGCTGGCCCTGGTGAGCCGAGGCCGCAGGGCTGGCTGAGTGGCCAGCGCGGGGCGGCGGGCAGCCACTTCATACACGGCCGGGAGGGCCTGTGAGTTGGCAGGAGGCCCTCTGGCTGTTCTGAGCCTCTGGCTGCAGAGAGTGTCCCAGAGGCGCAAGCAGTCTGCCAGGCACCACCTGCAGCCCCCCAGCACCCAGCGCCCCCAGGCCCCTCGGATGCCAACGGCAGCCGCTCCTAGCCGAGGGGCACCTGTGTCAGGCCAGGGGGACCCCGGGGGACCCCAGGGCAGCCCCCCACTGGTGATGTCAGGGAGAGGCCAGCATCCTGAGTGCCCACACCATGGCCAGTCCCACATCCCGCCGTGTAACTGCGTGTTTGTTT